AGCAACGTGAATTGCAATACAATAATTACATTTTGGTTGGTTCCCACATGATTGTTTTTGTTTGTCTGTTTTGCCATCCAGTCACAGCCGACTTATGGTGACCCCATAGGGTTTTCAAGGCAAAAGATGTACGTGAGTGGTTTGCCATTGCCTGCCTCTGCATCACAACGCTGGAATTCCTTGGTAGTCTCCCATACCATTCATGATGTTTACTGTCCCCTAATGCATTGATAACTGACTGTGCACTCCTTTCTGCACATGCTCCCATTACTCTCTTTAGTACAAACTGTAGTTTGTCATATTTGAACCAACTTGCAAAACTTTAAATTGCAGTCCTTGGGCAAGAAACAGCCATCGTTTGAAGGATCAGAAACAAGGATAATACTTGGCTGGCTCATTTTAGTATCAGGCTCTAGATGAGACCCATGCAACAAGACACAGATCTTCCATTTCATGTCTTTTGAGTATCCAGATGAATTCAGATGAAGGCTAAACTACATGTTACTCTTTACACAAGTTCACAAGACTGCTCCCATGTAAAACCGCAGCAGGGGCCCCATTAGGACTTGGACGACAGCATGGAGTTCCTGCTTTCCTCCCTTATGCTGTTTTGGGGGTCTAAATGGTTTGGGGGGCATGCAGGGGGCCTTATTTTCCCCCTGAAAGGCTGCACATCCACTGAATGCAGTTTAGGAAGGAAGTCAGTAGCCCCTTCTCTACCCACACCATAGTCCTGATCCACAACAGGCCCCTGTTGTTGTACTTTTTTCATAGGAGTTGTCTCTGAGGACTTGCAGCTACAATATGGCTGCCGGTCCCTATTTAGCAGTCTCCAACAGGTGTAACATGTAGTTTGGCCCTCAAGCTACACAGCATATGAATTCCCACATAACATTTATCCAATCAATTTGTACTGTTAATAATGTGCTTTGATGCAGATGTATAACAGGATGCAGTGTTTAGATTACTATCAAATTATCTTAATGTTCTAAACAATTCCACCCAAAAGGAACTGCAAAATTCACAGCAAAATTTCTTATTACATGAAGTTATAGTATCAAATCACCACTGTCTTCTCAGTCTAGTGACAAATGAAAGCCTTTGGGCTCCATACCATGCACACAATACTTTGTATCCTAATCGCAATAACTCAGTGGAATAGCACCCATTTCTAAATATGTACACTGTTGCTCTCCAGTTAAACTTCTGGTTTGATTTATTTTAATTACTATGGTTGTGTGTATCTATTTAAGGCCAATACCATGGAAATTAAATTCATTACAACTGTACTTTATATTATTCAAACGAACTCTATGGACAGAAGCAGAGTATTTGAAAGACAGTGGAATGGATCCAGATTAAATGTTCAATGGCAGAATGGAATTTTCTTCCTTCCCTTCCCACTGCGACTCTCTGATCTCCAGGAAATGCTGCTTCTGGGGGGGACAAGGGACCTGAGGAATGACATGAGGGGGGTCTGCAGCAGAATGGGTTATCTCCAATGTTCCCTCTAAGCTATGGAGCCTTGTGAACAAAAATTCTACTTTGTGAGCTACTGGCATTAAAATTGTGAGCGAGCAATTTGGCTGCTGCATAAATTAGTTGGCTCTGGAGCCATCCTTCCTGAGCCAAGACAAAAATGTGTGAGCCGGAGGCTAAAAAACTGTGAGCTAGCTCACACTAACTCAGCTTAGAGGGAACACTGGTTATCTCTGGAAATTATTTTACAGTAATATATTCCAGATGGAAAATTAAACAGCTCTGAAATGTCCTCTTAAATCCTGAAATGGTGACCATATTACGCTTATGATTTACCGGCTAAGATCACTGCCCTTGAGTTATAAAGTATGTTTCTTAGATTAAAAACCTTTGGATCTACATTCCATCTTTCTGCTTAGACTGGAAATGATTCCCATTTAATGGTATGGTTTGGTACAGGCTTCCTCCTGGCACTGATATTCTGAATACAAGAGCATCAGTTTCCATGCCAACACTACAGGTATAGGCAGTGCAGGTTTGTGTGAAAAATCTTGCCTGTTCTACTGAGTGAGGAAGTCAGCTGCAGTAGTGGGGTCATTTAGTTCCACAGATTGGTTGCATTAGGAGACCCTGAAACCATTTAGGTGATAACTGTTTTCTGGGTCCAGGTTTGCTTTAAAGCAAAACACGTTGGCAGTTCTAGTCTATTATAATAATCAGACTGATGTTTGGAATCCCAATCCATCTTTGTAAGAGAAGTACAAATTAAATTTTCCCTCATGACCCAAGGAAGTGCTAGCTTTCTCCCCATTAGATCACACCATCATGATATCATCTTCATGAACTGAATGGTCACTATTTACTAGCTACTTAGGAGTCTGCAGCAATACTTGCATATGTGGCCAATCAGCTCTCTTAATAACAAAAGTAACTTCTCATCTTTATTGGAAACAGATGCTTTTTACTAATACTACCAAGCCTCTTGCCTTACTGTTATCTGCTGCAGCAAGCACTCGTCCTAACCAATGACTCGTGTACTTCAGCACCTGTATCATCAAGTATGAATCCTGCAGGAAGGCAACATTAAAGAATGATTTCTGAAATGAATGCATTTATGATTTTTTTCTGGACTAGTAATACCTTTACAACTACATTAAAAAAAGAAATCTGTATTGATAAGGAGGAAGCAACAGTAACCTGTGTCTTTGGATTCTGCAAGCCACAAACAGCACCCACCAAAGAAAGGCCATCGACAATTCACAACAAAACTATATATTAAATTCATTGAAATATGAAGAAGGGTTAGTGGTCACAACTCAATAGAATGTATAGACATTGATCCAATGGCTCATGACAATTAAACATAGTTGAAAAAAAAGAACATATTCAAAACCAACAGTAGGCTCCTCTGCAATTCCGTACATAGATAGTGTCCATAGACCTCCAAACAGAAAGTTACTGCAGCAGAAGACTCCCACTGTGGAAAGATTAACAGTCGGATGCCTCTCCCAGGTATAAATAAATCAAGTGTTTCAATTATCTTCAACAGCGGCTGGTAAAACGGAACCCGATTTCCAAAATAACATAGGCACAGCTCAAAAGCTTCAATGGAATCCTAGGAGATCATTGAAATGCTTGATCTATACCTGGGAGAGGCGTCTGGCTGTTATTCTTTCCACAGTGGGAGCCTACTGTTGGTTTTGAACATGTTCTTTTTTCAAGCTATGTTTAACTGTCACAAGCAATCTGTTGGATCAATGTTTAGTTGTGACCACTAACCCTTCTTTGTATTTCAACGAATGTAATATATAGTTTTGAACATAGTTGTGAATTATAGATGGTCTTTCCTTGGTGGGTGTTGTTCGTGGCTATACTTTTACACCAAGGGTTTCCTACAGTCTTTGGCAATCACTGAATTTGGACAACACTACAAGGCTTCCGTGATCATCTTTCTCAAGACAGTAAGGCAGAAGCAGCAACTGGCCAAAAAAACAGCGAGATGGCACACATTTGGGACTGATGCCTTTGTATGGTCAAATTCATTACAACAGACCCCTTTATTTACAGCCACTAGCTTGTAGGGATTAGCCTTTAATCTACAGAACTGCAAGCTAAAATACCTTACAGAGTTACCAGATAAGAGGCAGAAATCATTAACTAATAACACTACTAGTATATATCCCCACTGTTTAGCCACAGTCAGAAATAACAGTTCCACTGAATAAATCAATATATTGTATAAAGAAGAGATATAAGTGACATGTTCAAAGAAAAGTCAAGGCTTTCCTGGAACTTCACTGCACTATTTTCAATATTAACATAATTTATAAACAACGCATCTGTGATCTTTCATGTAATGAACCTCAAGGAGGGAAAGACCTGTGCTGGATTTATAACAGGGTGCAAAACCACTTAAGACAATAAAATGTCATAAATTAGATTACTTGTCAATCACTTCATGGGAGCTCTTGCATAAGAACATAACAGCCCTACATTTATCAAGAAACTTTACTTTTTTCAAACTGACCCTCTGCAGAATACCTACAAGAAAGTTCTATTAAGGTCTACAATAAAAGCAAAAGTTATTATACTTTTATAATATTCTTTATTTTCATGAAGATGTTGAAGGTTCTAGGCAAAATGCTACCCTCATAAAATTTTGTGTAGACAGTTTGAAGACTAATACATGTTGTTGTGACAAAACTTTCCTTAGCTACAAGTGACCTTAATCCCTATCTGCAATATTGAGATAGGCTAGTGTTATCTTCTTACAGAAGTTTATAGAAGTATATACAGGAGTACAAGGAAGTGTGTCCATGAGAATTTATGCCAGAATGAAGTTTTCACTAAACATTTATGGCACATTTATGGCAAGTACAGTTAACTCGTGACCATGCTTATTGCTTACGTGGCTATGCACACCCTTTATATTTCTGAGTCCAATATACATCCTACGAATAACACCATTAAGGTGTCCCAAGATTTTCGTGTTTTCTTGTAATAAACTAACATGGCCACCCTTTGGGGGGGGGGACAAACAAAACCCACAGAAGCCCAGTGACACCTAAAAGTGTAACATTTATTGCACCATAAGCTTTTGTGAGCCAGAATTCATTTCCTCAGATGCAATGGAAAGAAAATCAACATTTTTAGTCTTTAAGGAGTCACTGTGTTTTTACTTTGCTATAATAGACTACAATAAACTAATATGGCTACTCTAATGGAATCACTTATCAGAACCAATTTATATTGCTATTTTGGAAATCCATGCTAATATTTTGCTACTTAACTTGAACAGAAAATTCTGTTATGCACAGAGACCACGAAGAAGATTAGGTGGTTACTCACATGCAAGAGTATGGACTATGAGCATTAAAGAAAACTGAACATTTTAGCAGTCACAGTTCAATAGATAACTTAGTGACATTCTGGTTGTACCACAGAATGTGGTAAGTACTCAGTGGGCTTAAAAATGTCAGCCTTTAGAATTAAATTGTAATTTAAACCAGTGCATCACTTACCATGCCTTTTCCATCTATGTCCTCGAATTGACATACTAGTCACTGCATTTCTTGATATTCTAGATGCGGTAGGTGTAATTTCAACCTGAATGCATTTTGTTCCTTCTTTATTAGATTTTATGGCACCTTGAGGCAATGAAGCTTTTATTGCATTAGCAACCTAAAGGGGTAGGGGGAGAGAATGTGGACAGAATTTCAAACAAAATGGTGTTCCTTAGAAATTTATATACGGAATAGTGCTATAGAATTCATTCATAAATAAATCTGGAGCAGGGTAGGCAGCATATTGCAGATGACACCAAATTATTCAGGATGGTAAAACCGGGGGGGGGGGGGGGAGAGAGAGATAGAGGATCTCTCCACATTGGGCAAGTGGGTAACGATGTAGCAAACAAAGTTCAAAAAGTATAAAATAATATATGCTGAGAGCAAAAAACTCCCCTTACTTTGCATATACGCTGATGGGGTCTGAACTGCCAGTGACCAGGAACTATCTTGGGATCACAGTGGATAGTTCAATGAAAATGACAGTTCACTGTAGAGCAGTAGGCTGACTGCATTTGGAACACTGTACAATTCTGGTCACCCCATATTAAAAAAGGATAAATTATATAGCTAGAAAAGGTACAGAAAATGGCAACCAAAGTATCAAGCATTTGGAGCACCTTCCCAACAAGGAAACATGAAAAAGAGGGGGGGATGAGGGCCAGAGAATTTTACAGGACGGTGCTTAATGTGGAGAAGGTGGACAGTAAAATACACAATACTAGAATTGATTAAAATGATGGGTAATAGATTTAGGACAAAAAATACTTCATAAATGCTTATGAAATTTACTGCCTCAAGATACTGTGATGATCACTTAGCTATAATTCCTTTATTTCCTGAATTTGTCTAACCTCTTTTTAAAGCTAATCTAGTTGTCATTAATGGACCTAAATGGCCCTCCTCTGAATATCAGTTGCTAGAAGGGAAGAGATGGGGGAGGCTCTGGCTTTCCTGCTCTGCTTGTAGGCCTTCTGTGAGCACCTGTTTGGCCACTGTAAGAAACAGGATACTAGACAAGATGGACCCTTGGTCTGATCCAGTAGGGATTTTCTATATGGGTAACAATTTAACATCTTTTCACAATTACGGCTTTAACTTTGGAGCAACCCACTTATCTGACAGAATTTTCCCTCCTTCAGCTGTGATGTACACACAAATATTAGTTTCTGATATTATTTCTGCATGCTCCCAAAACTCTCCCATGTCAAAACAACAGCTTTTGATACTTGGGACAGACTAGTTATTCAGAGACTTGGAGGCAATGCTGTAGCATTATCATTTACCAGAGTATGTACTGTTCCTGGTCTTTAGTCAAACTTTTGGTGATTTACACTGCACTTACAGCTGTACCCCAGAAAAACAAAAATAACTCGTAGAAACACACTCTGCTGTAACCAATGTGCAACATAGACTTTCACAGTGACTGCTGGATTCTCAAGAGTAGCAAGGGAAACCTTTTTATCATCATTCCTTCTGCCACACATCAGAGTCTGCCTGATAATTATATGCTTGAAATGCACACATTATGCCTTTGTTTTATTTACTATTTTTCTCAGTTGTTAGAAGAATCTGACCCCAAGCACCTACCAATAGCGGTTCTGGATATAGCTCCAGTTGTGCTCTGTATAAAATGTCATCCATTGCTTTTCGAGCCAGGTCCCATTCTCCATTATAACTTGAAGGTAAAATACATACATCAAAACTGATTATTAACTGCAAGGAATCATGATTATTGATTAATCATCTCAGGGAAACAATTTATTCATCAGTAGGTCAAATCTGGTGAAATCAGTTAACATAAATGCATGAAATAATGGATGTAATCAATTTTAAAATCTATAAGTTTCTCATTTGTTATTTAAGAAGAGTAAGAAAGGCTGAGCTATCAAGATTAACAATAGGCACAGTTATCAATAAGAACAGCCGAGTAACAAAAATGTAGAATTGCTCCTCTTTTATGTTTTGGAACATGAAAAGAATCATTTCTTCAAGCTAAGGACAATTAGTTTTTGTCTTGCCCAGTGGTACGTAATCAGTCCTTCAAGCTGTGATTCAGCATAGGCAGCTATTCCGTATATATATCCCCAATGTGTAGTTATGCAAAACAGATGGATAATTACAGCAAAATAAAGCAGCAGCATAGTTGTTATGGGTATAAGCTGGTTCAAATCTCAGCCATGAACTCTGGGCAGCTTTAAGTTACTGTATTTCAAGTCAGCCTTTCAAGTCAGCCTGCGAAATTTTCCTCCAAAGATTTATCACGGCATACAAAATTCACCACACTCAAGTGTGTATTCCCTTACCCTCCACCGAACCTTACAAGAAACACCAATGATATTCCATCACTAAGAAGAAACAAGACAGTTTGTTTCTGCAGAAACTTACAGCAGACATTTGTCCCCATTCATAAACAGATGACAGGAACCCTGATTTACTGTCCCTTCCCCTCCTGGAAGAACCAGGAATCTTCCAATTCCAAGCTCCTGTCCCCATAGCTGCAGAGCCCTGGCACAGGGGTTTGGATCCAGACTGACATTTTCTGCAGGTGCAAGGACTCTACCCATGTAGCAGTTTTTCCACCTGCCCCCTCCTGCAGCAGGTTAAAATGATCCCCCCTAGTCCTATTTGTGGGGAAAAGAGAACCCCCAGGAACAGGATTTCAGGGGACATTTCAGGTTGCCCAGGAGGAGATTCCATGGCAGAAGTCCTTGAATCCACAGTCTGGATCCAAGCCATGAACTCTTATCTCTCTCAACAGGCAAAATAAAATTTGCCTAGAAGATACAACAGGTACGAGTAGGATACTCTTGCCCTGTTCACACAATGTAGTCATGGAAGGTCAAGTGCAAACACTGATCCTGCCCCTTTCTCACAAACCTATTGTCATTTACTGCTCATAGACACCATGGATATACAAGCTGTATTTATACAGCATCTATTCCTTTGATAGGCATGAGCACTCCTAATCACAGGGATGGAGCCAATGTTTATACAGTTTATAGGCACTATAAGCAATATGTAGCCATAAGGATTTCTTCGGCAGGGAGGGCGGAGTATAAATCTAATTAAATAAATAAATAAATTCTTTGTTATAATACACATCAATAATAATATTTTTCAGGTTTCAATGTAACTAGCAACTATGTGTTATCATTTGGCTTTTAAAGTTTACCATCTTTCTCTGTAAAACAACCCCATAGAGCTATTTGCCCCTTGAGGAGAGAAACCAAGGCCCCACATCAAACCTGTATGACTGTAGTCATGTGGGCTCATTTCAGGAAGGGAAAACAGCAAGTGCAGGGAAAAGGACTAAAAATAACAGAAAAGAGACAGGGCAATTTTCACAATCCAAACTAGGGTCTCATGAATGAGATGTTTAAAAGGAAAAAAAAAGCATGTTGCGAGCTTCATACACACAGCCTCCTGACTCTAATCTCATTAAGCCCTAAGAACAGGGGTCTTGTTGTAGAAAAAGAGCTGCCGGAGCTCATTAGCATAACTCATTAGCATAACTTATTTGCATATGCCACGCCCCCTGACATCACCGGAAGTGACAGAAGGCCACACCCCCTGACATCACCGGAAGTGTGTCAGAAGGCCCGGCTACTTACCCTCCTGCTTCATCCTCATTCCCAAACGGAATGAGGATCGAAGCAGAGGGCGGGGTAAAGAAGGGGGCGGGGCTTCACCACGTGACCGCCCCGCCCCCTAGAGGTTCTCTTCCGGAGCTCCGTACCTGAGAGCTCCCCCCCGACTAGAGCCCTGCCTAAGAACATGTCATTTAGAGAGAGCAACATTATTGCCAGCAACTGAGATCAATTATCCTTTGCAGTAGCATATATGTACAGCTTGGGTTCCTAGACAGGGCTGAAAAACATTACAGCTGATGCACACATTTGTAAATGGTACATCTGTATAACATGCCATCCATCCCAGAAACGGACCATTACATTTGTATGTACACCATATATACATTTCCTGAACTTACAAAGCATAATAAATTCCAGTTAGCATTTGCACCATGAATTCAGAAGAAATTGGAATCCTGTTATTCATGCCTTTGTATTTCCTCACTTGCTGCCGAGGATACCCACAAACACAGATCCTGAAAAAACAAAATCAGCATCAGTATTGTTAATTTTATATGGCATAATAATAAGCATAATGTACATTTAAAAGCATAAAGATCAGAAATCTACAAGATGCTCTATTTTAAGCTAAAGAATCGAACTGACAGTGTACCTAATCAGTAGGTCCATCTATTTATTTATTAAATTGGATTTCTAGACCACCCTCCCCTGTAGGACAAGGCTCAGGGCTGTGTACAACAGCAGAATCATATTCATAAATTAAATTCATAGTTAAAATAATAAGAAATACAACAGCAATTAGCTTAATTTGATGGCACTAGCAAAATTCAGATTGCACCACCATCTTGCCGGGGGGGGGGGTAAGAAACAGGAGCACCAGACAGATGGGAACCATCACTGTCCTCAACCAAATGCCTGGCAAACTGCATTAAGTCCTGCAGGGCATGGATGCTGTTCAGCAGAGAGTTACACCAGGTTGAAGCCAGGGCTGAAAATGCCCTGGCTCTGGTCGAGGATAACTGGATATCTCTTGGGCTGGGGATCACCAGTAAGTTCTTGCTTGCAGAGCGCAGTGCTCTTTGAGGGGTTTACCAGGAGATACGTGGGTCCCAGACTGTTTAGGGCCTTAAAGATTAGTACCAGAACCTTGAACTTGATTCAGTACTCCAGCTGGAGCCAGTGCAGCTCATGCAGCACAGGTTGGGTATCTACTGTTCACAGGGTTCTGTTAAGGACCTGCACCACTGCATTCTGGACCAGCTGGAGTTTATGGGTCAGTCTCAAAGGTAGCCCTACATCTGGTTTAAATATATGAGTACTAAAGATCTTGTATACAGGTCTATGAATGTGTGTCTATACTATATTGATAATAGTGACCACTGAGGAAGGCCCTTAGGGGCCAAAACGCGTTTGGTCTTCAGTAGGAAAGTGTTTACCCATCATATGTATTAGTATTTGATAAGTTTTTATAAGTCTGATACTTAGATAAAGATTTTTATCAGTATATGTTTTAACATATGTAGACCCTAATAAATATTTGTACTTTTATAATATACATTGTTAGCTTAGCCTTTTGGTTCGCAGTCTTACCTTGGGTTGAGTTCCACCCCCCTTTTTCCCCAGTTTTTTTCCTACCTAAAGACTAAGTCATCTTCATTGGAGTTTCACGTACAACACACTGTAGTACTTTAGTCAGGACATTAAGAAGCCACAAGCTACAAGTCTCATTTATTCCTTTTAGGAGTAAATGTGATACCATCAAAAACAACAGGGTTGCACTTGCTTGTACACCAATGTTCTTATGAATGTTTAACTACACATGGGAGTTGTGTGTGCTCAAGCAGCTGCAGGGTCCTCTAGAATGTGAGAGATCTTCCCTCTCCCCTAACCTAATTGTTTTACCGGTGAGCCTTTTATACTGAACGGAGGGGAAACAATCCTTCTTCCTTCACTGAGCTTCCTTCATATAAGCCCATACACCCAACAAGAACTTCTACAGGCAGAAAATAGTGTGACTACATAAAGTTATTCAAATACCACTACTTGCAGGTAAGTGCAACCCGATTTTCACTGCCATGCATTCCTACAATAGAAAATAAGTGTGTTGAATTACTAGGAGACACAAGCTGATATGAACTGAGAGGGAAAATAGACTGAAACACCATTGTCCCCCATAACTGCCTCCTTCTATTCATTAATGTCTACATGATGGTATTTGAATAAAAGCCATGCACTGTGTAGCCACTTTACAGATGCTTTCCAATGTAATTCCCCTTTAAAGAGCTACAGAGGTGGCTTTATTTCTAGCAGTGTGCACTTGCAACAGGCTCTGCAGTGGAGCTATGGGTCCTGCTTTTATGGCTAAGGGCCAACCTACAAGTAACTTATAACACAGTTCAGGTTGACTTGAATGTGTACTTTCTGCAGACTGTTCTGATGTCAAGGAACTAATGGTGCAAGTGTGCCAGAACCCAATTCAGCTCAGGAGTGCAACACAGGGGGAGAGGCTTCAGCCTTCCCTCCTGTACCATTTTCCCCAAGCTGAAATGGACATTGGGGGCCATATTTGTCCTGTTGTGGGACTCCACATGCACTCACTGACATGTCACAGGTAACATGTAGCTTGGCCCTAGGACAACCCACTTTGAAATGGGTTGTGTAGAAGTTCTTTCCCCACTATTCTACCCTTCGTTTAACACTCACACACACACAAAGCTGAGGCCTCATCTAAAATCTTCTGTTTACCGTAAATATGCCCCGGTCACACATAGCATTAGCCACGCTAGAGAGACGGAAGATAGGTGGATTTTCCGGGCGTGATCTCACCGCCACATCTGGGAAGCGTAGAGCGCCCGTGCCTCAACCGAGGCTTCCCGCCGAAGATGCGCAGCAAAAAAACTAGTATCTCGGAGGTACTAGTTTCCGGAACCTCCGGGGCAAGGGCGGGCGTCTGATCGCGTTTCCGGTGGCATCCGGCGCCCGCCCATGCCCCATTGCAAAAAGGTTTTTTCCCCCCGAAGTCTCCAGGGATGCGCACAAGCACCCAACGGGGCATGCGCATACTTCAGGTTAAAAAAAACAAAACACAACCCCGTTTGCCGTGCCGCGCCGCTTCTTTGGCACGTCGTGTGATCAGCACCTCCCCCCTAACCAAGGGACCTCGACGGGACCACGAGGGGACGCCTGATCACGCAGTCGCGCATTATTTCGCTGCGGGGCAAACAGCCACGCCTTCCCCCCGCGATATCCGGCCCATGTGACCAGGGCCATAAAACGTTTTCCTAACATCCAAAGGAAGTTAATGTTCTCCACATCCAGAAGTTCTGGAAAGGAAACTAGTAAGGTGGTATCTTGAGTGACAAGAAAATGAGAACCAATCTTAAGAAAAAAATGAGAAATGTGGAAAAAACTATTTAAACCTAAATAAAAATATTAAGAAATTGTCATCTCAATGCATACTGTTTACTAACTCTATGTGCAATAATAGCAATCACACACAAAAAAATTCACTATAAGCACATTTAAAGGACATTTTCTCAAGTGGCTAAAAAGGTTATACAAGGTATTATCTGGATTATAACTAAAATCTTCAATGAGGAACAGTGGGCTTGCACAGAGAAATTAAACAAATTCTCCAAAAATATTTAGAATGGGTGAAGAAAACAGAGTTGCACTTGCCTGTAACTGTTGTTCATCAGTGTCTTCTGTGCAGACACACATTGGGACTGTGCCTGTGCAGGCCAACCACGGACATTTTCTTTCTAGCTTAAAAACTTCAAAGGGGGAGCAACCTGACCCTTTCAGGGTTAGCGCATGTGTGAGATTCCCCTCCCAACACATTACGTACTCTGAAGGTGGGCACCCCTTCCCTCAGTTCCCACTAAGCTGCTGCAAGCCCCTTCCATGGTACCACAGGTGCTGTGAGACTCACAGCAGGGCAGGAGGGAGGAAACATGTGTCTGCACAAAAGACATTGATGAACAACAGTTACAGATAAGTGCAACTCTGTTTTCATCATCTGTCTTCTCATGCAGCCCTACACTGGGACCATTAGCGAGCTACTCACCAGAGGAGGTAGGGTGAGTCTCTCACTGGAACAGCGCCTGTAGAATAGCTTTTCGCACATCTGCCTCCTTTCTGCCTGAAGATCTAGAGCATAATACTTCATGAATGTCTCCTCTGTCAACCAGGTTGCAGCCCTGCAGATGTCCAGAAGGGGAACTCGTTGTTGAAATGTGGCAGGTGATCCCTGCACTTGGGTGGAATGTGCTTTCATATCAAAAGGGCATGGCTCCCCGGATGCCCTGTAGCAGGGAAGGCTGCCATCACCCATCCGAACACAGACTGGACTGAGGCTTGGTTCTTTCTAAATGATAAAGGATGGCCCATCCTAACATCAATGGTATGTAGGGCTTTCTCTGCCTCTGAGCTTGGATTCGGGAAAAATACTGGTAGGACCACTTCTTATGCTCAGTGGAATTTGGAAACTACTTTAGGTAGAAAGTCCAGACTTGGGTGTAACACCACCTGCTCACTGAATACCTTAAGAAAGGGCGGATCAACTCTAAGTGCTGCCAGTGTGCTAACCCTTCTGGCTGAGGTAACAGCCACTAAAAATGCTACCTTACTTGAGAGTAATGCTAAGGAGCGGGAGGCTACAGATTCAAAAGGAGGTTTCTTCAATTTAGTTAATACTAAGGGTGACAACCACTGTAGGACAATATGGGGCATAGGGGGAAAGACATTGGACAGCCTTTTAAAAAAGCCCTGAGCCAGTAGTCCTTTGTACCTCCTCATGAAATGCAGCAATAGCCACCAAGTGGGCCTTAACTGAAGATACTGCCAAACCATCCTGTGCTAGTGAGAGCAGGTATTCCAAAAGAGATGACAGCAGGCAAGTAAAAAGGCATTCCACTCTAGTGGATGTCCAGGACTCAAACTGAGTCCCCTTCTACCATAAGAATACTGAGTTGAGGGGTTTACAGGCCTGAAGCAAGTTATCTCGTACCCCTTGGGAGAAGGAGCATCCTACGGTTAGATCCCCCATGCCATCAAATGTAGCCTTGCTACATCGTTGGGCAGTAGTGGACAGAAAATCAACAAGTCTGAGGCAGGGGAAACGGTATGCAGTCCTCGCCTGCTAGGCATAGCAGCTCCAAAAACCAGATCTGGTAGGGCCAGAAGGAAGCATTTTTTCCTATAACCCTGTGCAGGAGAGGGAAAGGAGGGAATGCACAGAATACTAGGATACAATCCATCCAATTGGCTAGTATTTTTTCCTATAACCCTGTTCAGGAGAGGGAAAGGAGGGAATGCACAGAAGAGCACTCCTGACCAGGGGATCTGGAATGTGCCCCTTAGAGAACTTGGATCGCTACCCTCCAGGGAGCTTTGTTGGACTCAGCTGTGGCAAACAAGTCCACCCAAGGATACCCCAGGTATTAAATCATCTTGATGCCTTTTCTCCATTAGTAATTGGTCTCATAGACCCTGCTCAGATTGTCTGCTTCTGTAT